AGGTTCGGTTAGTCCATTAGGTAAGGGCTAGGGTCACTGTCATATGTGTGTTGCTGACAAGAGCATGCTCGGGGTTTTGAACAGAATGTAAGTCAGGATCTAGCTGGCCCTTCCTGCTTGTTGCTGACAAGAGCATGCTCTTGGTTTTGAACAGTATGTAAGTCAGGATCTGGCTGGCCCTTCCTGCTTGTTGCTGACAAGAGCATGCTCTTGGTTTTGAACAGCCTGTAAGTCAGGATCTGGCTGGCCCTTCCTGCTTGTTGCTGACAAGAGCATGCTCTGGGTTTTGAACAGTATGTAAGTCAGGATCTGGCTGGCCCTTCCTGCTTGTTGCTGACAAGAGCATGCTCTTGGTTTTGAACAGGCTGTAAGTCAGGATCTGGCTGGCCCTTCCTGCTTGTTGCTGACAAGAGCATGCTCTTGGTTCACATATGACAGTGACCCTAGCCCTTACCTAATGGACTAACCGAACCTGACAATACCTCATACCATATGGGGCCAGCGGACTCGGCCCACCTATCAACATATCCTCCATAGTGATGGCTGGGCCGAACAGGTGCGCGCCTGCCAATAATGGGCGCTCGCGCCTGCCATTAATGGGCGCGCTCATTCGAAATGACTTCACTGCGGACCCATGCCCATCGACAAATTGTCCATTAGTGATGGCTGGGCCCAACTGGTGCTCGCCCGCCAAATATAGGCGACGAGCTTTGCGCCAAAGCCGTTGTTGTGCCATCAGGTGGGCGACATATCTGGCAGTACTTACTGTCTTCAATTCAATGCGTGGGCCCTACAAAGTCTTCGTTTCAAATGGGTGGGCCCAACAGGTTCAATGAATGGATAATGGAATTTCCACACAAATGTGGCTCAGGTAATGAAGACAATCAAGATCCTGGGATATGAGGTTGGACTTGTACTGAAGTCAAAGAGAGTTTCATGGGCGTCATTGACGACGGCATGGAGAGTGGTGGAAGGAGTGATTCAACGTTGCACACTTTTGAGTCTTTCTTTGATTCAGGTGCCACACCTGTTTTCGCACCGGCGCCTGAGTCAACCTAGCTACATGTTACATCTGCGAATACAAGGTTTGGGTTCCAAGCTGTTCCAAAACCCTGTCATGTAAGAGCGCCAACGCGTAGGAACCTCAATTTGTTTGCGCCCCAAGTAACCTCAATTTGCCAGCGCCCCAAAATGTGTCAGTTGAACTGAAAGAGCGCCAAAGCATATGCGTGCCAAAGAATAACTGCATCAAAAAATTTATTATACCCTAGCTACTGTAGGGTATT